ACTCACAAATTCAGTTTCTGTTCCCCCAGCCAGCAAGCCATCACCCACCCACCGCACCGTCTATCTATTCATCCATCTATCCATCTACCCATCCATCCATCCACATACCTATTCATCCATCCACCCAACCATCTATTCACTCACTCATCCATCCACCCATGCATCCATCCATCCTCCCACCCATTTATTCATCCATCCACCATCCATCCCTCCATCCATCTACCCAACCTATTTATCTGCCCATCCATTCATCCATCCATCCATCCATCTCCCCACCTGTACACCCACCCACCATCCATCTGTCCATCCACTCACTCACCTTTCCATCCCTCTACCCATTCATCCCCCCACTCTTCCTCAGGGGTGGTTTCCCAGAGGAAGGCCAGCACTGGGTGCTCTCACCTGGGGAGGGCTGTAGTCACCTGGCAGGTTGAGTGATCCCATGTGCACACCAGATGCCTCCCAGGGGTCCTGGAAGAGGCTCCTTCCTCCAGCTTGTTTCAGAACCCCCCACTTCAGACTGTGCAGGGGTCCTCACCCCAGCAGGGATGGGGGTGCTGGGAGCAGGGCCTGGGATGTGGGGGGCAGAGGAAGGCCCCAGGCTCATTCGCTCGGCCTTGGTGCGGAGGAGCCTGCAGATGAGTGTCCAGAGGCCACTCCAGGGGCCCGGCAGGAGTGAGGTCTGCGCAGGCCTGGCCCATGAGGCCTCCCTTGGGGCAGCTCTGCCACCACCTGCCCATCCTGTGTACATCAGTGCTTGCTGGGGACTTGGAGAAGGGACAATCAAGGGCTTGTTCTGAGGAGGAGCTGGCGGTCATGGTGATGGCGCTGATAGTTGAGGCAATGCCAGTGGTCATGGCGAGGGTGGCCATGAGGACTGTGCCGGAGGCTGCTGTGGCTTTGCTCGTGGCAGTGTGTGTCACTGGGTGCCCCTGTCTGGGCAGGGGCGGTGGTGGTGTGAGCGTGTTGCTGGAAGCCCCTGCCCGGGCAATGGCGGTGGCGGGGGTATCGGAGTGAGGTGGCTGCTGTTGAGGGTGTGGCTGGCAGAGTGGCGGGGAGTGCCGAGATGCGGCCGTGTGGCAGTGCTAGAATGTTCTGGTGTTTGCGCGGTGATGGGATTGTGTCCCCCTGGATGATTGCAATGGCAGGCACAGCTGGGACCGCAGTGATGACAGCTGTGGGTGTGGGGGTGACATGGCGTGGTGGTGGTGGTGCTCTTTGAGCACCGGGGGAGGGCAGTTCGTGGTGGTGCCAGGGACTCAAGCTCCCTAAGGGACATGTGTGAGCCGCCCTGCAGGCCACACAGTCATGTGGCGGCTGAACTGACCAGTAGGGAGCAAAGGGGTGGGCCCGGGAGAGGGGCGGCCACGGGGCTGACTATGCCCGGTGGAGTCTGGGCTGAGCTAGAGCTGTGGCCCCACGGGGCACCCAGTGGCCAGCCGTAAGGACTTGGCAGCCAGGGGACAGGGGCATGGCTGCTGGCCTCCAGTTGGTCCAGTGGCAGAGGAAGGGAGTAGGGGGCAGAGGCAAAAGGGCAAAGGGCTCAGGAATAATCTGGGGGCAGCTAGACCCTCCCTGGTCCCTTTGTTTCCAAGTGGGGCTGGGGTGTTGGGCTCTCTGGGCGTCCCTGCTGACCGGAGGGTGGGAACAGAGGACCCTGCAGGGACAGTGGGGTCACTAGGAACAGCAAGGACAGTGGGAGCAATGGGGACCGAGGAGACAGTGGGCTCAGCAGGGCCGGTCTGGCGCCTGGAGGCTGCGATTTCTCAGGCGGTCAGCGCCAGGCTGGCCCCAAGACGCATCTTGGGAACATGAGCAGCCCAGAAGAGCCCACAAGGCTGCCCCGGGCGCCTGTCCAGGCTGGGGGCTGGGGGAGCAAGGCCAGGCCCACAGTGACCTATGGCAGGGCAGGTGTCTCCAGGGGGTCTGCAGGGTCCTCCCGGGTTACAGGACCCAGCTGGGGTCAGGTGGGGCCCTGACCCGGGGTTCTTCTCTCTCTGGTGAAGGAACCGAGGTCGGGGGCTCCCGGGAGCAGCAGGAAGCTCTGCCTGCTGCATGCAGCTGTGTGGCCAGGGGGCAGCAGGGCGGCAGGTGGCCGGTGGTCCATGTTGCACTGGGCTGAGGGCCTGTCTGCGCGGGCTTCCTGCTGGAGGAGACGGGGCGAGTCGGCCTAGTGCTCGGAGGGGATGGTAGAGAGAGGGGGGCTCCTGAGGCCCCAGCGAGTCGCTGTGCCGAGAGTTTGGGGGCCTGGGAAGCCCCGGCTGCAGCCGCCCACTGCCCGATCCTCGCTCCGCAGCGCTGAGTCACCCGCGCCACGTGACCAGCCAACCGGCCCCAGGGGACGCCGAGCCGGTCCCATAATAGCACCTGCTCGTGGGCTGTGGGGCTCGGGGTGAACCTCCCGCAGTACCAGTGGGCCTGCACCCCCTCCCCACTCAGCTCCAGGCAGCTGGGGAGGGACCCCAGACTGGCCGGGGCAGGAGGGCACAGCCACAGCCCAAGAACACCAAGTCCTAGCACTGCCGGTCCCCCACCTCCAGGAGCGGCCCACACCCAGGGACCCAGCCTATAAGCCTCTGCCCGCTGCTGTGGCCCCTCCGGGTCCCAGGAACAGGGCCCTGCCCAGGGCACTGAGGTGGCGGGCAGTGGGGCTCGTGGCCGCGGCATGGATGGGCAGGTCTGCCGGGTACTGGCCTTCCCTGGAGCCCCGGTCTGGGGGGCCCTGCCCCCCTCAGTCGGCCCTCCATAGGTCCAGGAAGGCCGGGGCCAACCCCGACCCTCCTCCTCTGCTCCGGCACACCACGGCCCCTCGCCCTGGACAGCTCCGGGGAAGGCGGCTAGTGCTGCCCCAGATCCTCGGGCCCGGGTGGGGGGCCTGGGCTCCATGACCCAGATAATGCCAGTTCCAAAGCCCAGCCAGGGTCAGCAGCACTGCGTGGGCTGCGGTCACTGCGTGGGAGGAGACACAGCCACTGGTGGGAGGAGGATGGTCTGCTGCATGGCAGGCAGAGGGGACGGGCATCAGATGTGGGCAGGGGGGACGGGCACAGAAGCATGTGGGTCAACCTGGGCCCCCATCTCCTGGGAAGTGGTGACAGCCACCTTTCCCTGATCTGGCCAGAGGTCCAGGGCCAAAGGGCCGTGGCGTGCCGGGAGCAGAAGTGGGGGGCCCGGGGATGGAGCAGGCCAACCTGGGCCCCATCTCCAGGGAGGAGGCTGCCAGCTGGTATCCTGGTGCCCTGCAGACCACCAGCCCTGTGGGACCTGCCAGCCACTAGCCTGACCAGCCCCCGAGCCTAGATGCAGGGCCCCGACATGCAGAGCTGCTTCTCAGATGCTGGCTGAGTACAGCGGGCCAGGCGCTGACCTTGCACGTGGCCAACCCAGGTTGCATCTTTGATGTACCCTGTGGCCCCCGAGCACCCCCAAGAATAATTCCTGAGTGCAGAGCCGGAAGTAACCCCTGAGCACTGCTAGGTCGTAACCCCCCCTCCCAGGAAAAAAAAATACCAAAAGAAACAAAAATCAGATGCTCGCTCAATAAGGTGGACATGGCTGGACCTCAGGAGCCTCAGGTCCTGGACCTGCAGAACCCCTGCAGAGTGCCCTGCTGGCCGGAGTCTGGTACACACGGCTGGAGCCAGGGCAGACACACGGGCGCTGGTGGCCTGTGCCCTGTCCTGACCCATCCTTGGAGGTTCTGGGGTGAAGGGCGCAGGCGCTGGCCAGGCTCCGACAGGCTGGGCCAGCTCTGCACGGTGCCAAGGCCTGGCTGGCCCTGCTGCCTCCTTGACCCACTTCATTTCCACTCTGAGCTCTGGGGTCCACCTCCCTCGAGGACTCTGCTGGCCTTCGGGGACCGCCAGGCTGGGCTGCAGCAGGCGGGTACTGACTGGTGGCCGGGTCACCCCATGATTCCTGCGGCTCTCAAGAGACCTGGGCTCCCCCCTCGGTGCTTAGTGGGTCCCCGACGATGGGTGAGCTTTGGGCCCCTGTGCCCGCGTGGGCAGAGGACAGCATCTTCCTGGATGCTCCTCAGCAGGGCCTCGCCTCACCCATGCCTCTGCCTCAGTTTCCCTCTGTTCTCAAACGGAGAAGAGGCAAGAAGGATAGGGCTGAGGGTCCCACCCAGAGACCTTCACCTGGGGCAGCAAGTTCAGCAGGGACGTGGCATAGTATCTCCCCCAAATCAAGAGGCTCTGGCTCCCTGGCCTGGGGGCCGGGGACATGCGCTTGTCTCCAGAACTGAGGGATGGGGGCTTTCCTGGTGAGCATCGGGAAGAGGAGACACCAGCAGGGCCTTGGGGGTGGGGGTGTCCCTGGGGTGACCCTGGTGGCTGCATCCATCCGTTGGCGGCCTGGGCCCTTCTGGGGCCCTGCGCTGCTTGTCTGGGGGCCTCGGGGTTCGGCACCCCCACCCGCGGCGTTGGCTTTTGTCTCAGACCGCCTGCGGGCCGGGTCCCGGCGCGGCGGGCGCCCTGGCATCTGGTCCCCCGAGTGCTGTGGCCGACTCTGGGGTCCGGGGCGGGGGGGGGGGGGGGGGGGCTTGGTTGCCGCCGCCGGGTTCAAAAGGGGGTGCCAGGCGGGGGCGCGGAGGCCCGGCCTGGCCCGCGGCCCCTCCCCCTCCAAGGTCGCGGCGCCCCCGCCCCCCGCGCGCTCGGGCCGCCCCCGGTGCCGGTGCCGGTGCTGGTGCCGGTGCCGGGCTGTGCGCGCGGGGCGCGGCGCGCGCGGCGGGCGCGGGGCCAGCTGCGGGCCTGGGCTCGGGCGGCCGCGCTCCCGCGACTCGCTCTCCCGTGCTCTGGGCCGGCGGCGGCGGCGGCGGCGCGGGCATGGGGCGCGGGGCGGCGGGGGCCGGCGGGGGCCGGGCCGGGCGCGCGCAGGTGCGGGCCGGGCCGGGCGGGCCGGGCGGGCCGGGCGGGCCGGGCCGGGCCGGGCGGGCCCGCGGCCGCCGCCGCTCACGCCGCCCCCTGCCTGTGTCCGCCCGCCCGCCCCGCCCCCAGACCCTCCTCCCCCGCACCCCCGCAGCTCGGGCCCTGGTCGTGGCGCGGCTGCCGCACGGTGCCCCTCGACGCCCTCCGGACGCGCTGCCTGTGTGACCGGCTGTCCACCTTCGCCATCTTAGCCCAGCTCAGCGCCGACGCGGTGAGACCCCCGGGGCGCGGGCGGGCGCGGGGCGGGCGCGCGGGGGGCGCGGGGCGGGCGCGAGGCGGGCGCGCGGGGCCGGGGCGCGCGGGGCGGGCAGTGCGCGCGGGGGCGCGCGGGGCCGCGGGGGGCGCGCGGGGGGCTCCGGGGGCGCGGGCCGGGGCCCGGGATCCCGGCCCGGCTCGGGCGCGGGGGAGGGGCCGCGCCGCGCCGCGCACCCCCGGGAAGGGCCGCCTCGGGCGGGCCGGGCCGCCTCCTCTCCCCTGCGTTCTTGTGGGGGCTGTGGGTTTCCATAGCAACTGCATCTGGGGCCCGCGCCTGGCGGGGGCCGGTGCTGGGCTCCCGGGGGTGCGGGGGACTCTCCGGTGCCGGCCCGAGGACTGCGCCCTGCGGCCGCCCCAGGGAGGGGGCCTGCGCCCCTGGCCCAGCCGGGGTGGCCCGGCGGGGTGGCGGGAGCTGGGTGCAGGCCCTCAGCATCCCGCTCCGCTCAGCGCGAGGCCTGCGTGGTGCTCACCCCCGTTTGTCCTCTGGAAGTGCCAGCCGGAGCCCCCCCAGCCCATCCCAACGGAACCGCATCTCGAGGGCCGTGCTCTGGGCCCTCTCTGTCCACCTAGGGCCCAGGAGGGACTTTCCCCCGAGAGAGCTGGAGAGGGGGGCAGACGGAGCAGGGCGGCAGAGGGGCTGCACTCGGTGGACAGGGCCTGCAGGCCCCACATTCTCCTCTCCCAGGCCCACCCCTGTGCCTCAGTTTCCCTCTGCAGCTGCTGGGGCTCAGTGGGCAAGGGTCCCGTGGCCCTGGGGGGTGGTGCGGGGGACCCAGACAGGTGAGCATCCAGGCCGTGGGTGGGCATCAGGGTTGACAGTGGGGAACTCTGGGTGGGGAGTCTGGAGGGTCTCCCAGGACCAGCATGTGTCTGAGGAGACCATGGGAGGGCCAGGCTCAGTCCTGGCAGGGGCCTGGGCTGGAGGGGGTCACTGCTGCAGTCTGGGGTGGATGGCACACTGCTGCCGGGGTCTCTCCTCAGACTGGGGAGGACAGGTCAGGGTCACTATGGGGGCAGGTCACTGACAGGGTCAGAGGGTGACGGGGTCAGGGAATGACGAGTCAGGGAGTGATGGGGTCAGGGTGTTACAAGGTTAGGGAGCAATGGGGTCAAGGAGTGACGGGGTCAGGGGGTGAGAAGGTCAGAGGGTGACGGGGTCAGGGAGTAACAAGCTCAGTGAGTGCCAGGGTTAGGGTGCGCCGGGGTCAGAAGGTGACAGGGTCAGGGTGATAGGACAGCATGATGGGTCCCTGGGGTGGGTGGATGGGGAGGGGGAGGCTACGGGTGGCTGAGACTGGAGAGCGACTGCTACAGCCCGGAACAGTCCCAGGGCCCTGGTGGAGTTTGCATGACAGGCAGAGATGGGAGCCTCCGGGCTGCAAAGCAAAGCCCCAGGGCTGCAAGTACAAAGGCCCTGGGGCAGCCTGGACATGAGGGCCAAGGCCCAGATTCCTGCCTGGGACGTTCCCAGATCCACCATCCATCACCCTTCTGGCACGCCTGTCTGTATCCCCGCTCCCCACTGCCTGGATCCTGCAGGGCTCGCGGGGCACCCGGCCCTGGCCTCCCGCTTGGCCACCATGACTAGAGGCCAGCCCAGCACCCTGCCCCTGCCCCACTGACCTCCGTGTGGCTATGGGTCAGTCTCAGGGAGGGCACTCGGGCCTCTCGGGGTCCTGCTCTGCAGACAACCCTGCAGGGTCGGGTGTCTGGCCCGCCGTGTCTGCGGAGCACAGTGGGTGCTGACCAGGGGACCTGCTTGGAGAAGGTGTCCTAGTCCTGGTCAACTTGTCGTGCTCCACACCAGTCTTCCATCCCACTCATTCACCCTCCTCCCCCCACTCACTCACTCTCCTCCACCCCTTCTTCCCCCTTCACCAAGCCCAGAGCTGTGTGCATGGGGGGTGGGGGGGGAGGAGGCGCAGGCCTGGTGCTTGCCTCTGGGGTCTCTGGGTCCTGGGTCAGTTTGCACCATCCACTTGCTGTGGCCAGTATGCCCTGGGAGACACTCTTGGGGTCCCAAGAACCCAATCATGTGGTCATGGGGGCAGCTCCGGGCTCTGTGGGGTGGGGGCAGTGGCTGTGGCTGAGGCTGTGAGGTTCCAGCAGGAACCCCGAAACCTCTTGGGAGGTTGGCACAGGCGGCAGCTAGGAGGGCCTTGGACAAGATGGAGCATTTGAGAGAAACCCTGCATCTGGGGTTGGGGCCAGGGTGCTTGGAGGGGTCTACGGGTGTGGCGTGCGGGGCGGCTGGCACACGTGGCGGGGATGAGGGCCGTGGTCCTGTGTGGGAAGGACAGGGGTGGCTTCTGGGGGGAGGGTCACACCCTCAGCATCCCGCCCGCCCCACAGAACATGGAGAAGGTGATCGTGCCGTCCGTGACGCTCATCGTGGGCTGCGGCGTCTCGTCCCTGACGCTCCTCCTGCTCATCATCATCTACGTGTCCGTGTGGAGGTGCGAGGGCGGCGGCCGTGGGCGGGGTGGGGGCTTGGCTCCAGGGTTCTCGCCTTTGCCTCTGTGGCTCCCACTGGGCCCTCCCCACTCTCTCCTGCACGTCGTTCCGCCCAGAGTCAGCCTGGACAGAGCAAGAGATGGACAAACTTCCCTCCCCGCCTTCACGGGCCTGAGGGGCTGAGGCTGCATCTGACCGTGCCCCTCTGCACGCTGGGCCTGCTCGTTTCCTGGGTGAGGGGCGGAGGTGCCCACCAGCGTGTGTGCCCCGAGCCAGTGGGCTGTCTCTGTCCCCTATTCCCAGTGCGGCCCCTCGAGCACCCTGGCCCTGCCAGCACTCCCAGCGTGGCCCACGGCAGCCAGAGGCTGGGGGGCCCATGAGGCTGACACTGCCACTGGAGGGTCTGTACTTGGTCCCCCAGACCCACCCTCTGCATGTGAGTGAGGGGAGCTCTGCTGTGGCCTGGAGGTCCCCAGGGGGTGGGGACCCAGGGAAGCCCCCCAGCCCCTTCTCTGTCTCCACTGCTCCCTCAGTGTCTGCCTGCGGACAGTGCTGTAGCAGAAGCACGGCTGCCTGGCCCTGCCGTGTCCACCCCCCGCACTCAGTGGGCAGGCTCCGCAGCCCAGACCACACAGCTGGGCCGTGGCCAGGCCACCATGCCCTCGGAGCAGCCCTCTTGGAGCCCCGGGTCAGCTGAGCTGTGTCAACAGGCAGTCAGTGTGCGGGGTGGTGTACTGTGTGGTGGGCCGGAAGCAGCATCATGGCAATGCCGTGGCGGTGAGGGTGTCGGTGCTGATGGTAGTGGTGATGGTGTTTCTGGATGTGGTGGTGATGGTGGTGGTTTTGGTGATGATGGTACTGGGGTGATGGTGGCGAGGTGGGTGCTGATGGGAGTGGTGCTGGGAGTGGTAGTGGTGATGATGGTGGTGAGGAGGTGCTGATGGTGTTGGTGGTAGTGATGGTGATGGGAGTGGTGGTGGTGGTAGTGATGGTGCTGATGGTGGTGGTGATGGTAGTGGTGGTAGAGGTGATGGTGGTTGAGGTGGAGGTGATGGTGGGTGGTGATGGTGGAGGTAATGATGGTGGTTATAGTACTGGAGATGATGGTGCTGGTGGTGGTGCTGGTTGTGGTAGTGATGGTGGCTGAGGTGATGGTGGTGGTGATGGGGATGTTGATGGTAGTGGTGGAGGTAATGGTAGTGGTGGTGATGTGATGGTGGTGGTGGAGGTGATGGTGTTGGTGGTGGTGCTTGTTGTGGTACTGATGGTGGAGGTGATGATGGTGGTGGAGGTGATGGTGGTTGAGGTGGAGGTGATGGTGGTGATGGTGACGGTGGTGGTGATGGTGGTGATAGTGGAGGTAATGATGGTGGTGATAGTACTGGAAGTGATGGTGCTGTTGGTGGTGCTGGTTGTGGTGTTGATGGTGATGGTGCTGGTGCTGGTGGTAGATGGTGATGGTGGTGATGATGGTGGTAGTGCCGGTTGTGACCAGTTACTGCAGGGTAGGGGTACTCTGGCCTTGGTGCCCCGGATGCCCAGATCACTTATTGAAGAGGCCTCAGTGGGTGCCAGCATGAGCCCTGCTCCCGCCCAGGTACATCCGCTCGGAAAGGTCTGTCATCCTGCTCAACTTCTGCCTGTCCATCATTTCCTCCAACGCACTCATCCTCATCGGACAGACCCAGACGCGCAACAAAGTAGGTGCCCCTCCCCCCTGCCCCCCATCCCCACAGTCCGGGCCACAGGGACTCTCACTGAGGCGTGCTCTCTGCCCCCGGCCCAGCACCCACTGGGAATCCGGGTCAGAGCTGCCAGGCCGGGGGCGCCAGGGCTCAGCTGGTTCTGGGGCGGGGTCAGCAGAGCAGGGGGCACCCAGGGTACTGGGGCTGCTCTCTGGCACCTGCCCGGGGCTGTCTCCTCGGCACGGGAGGGCAGGAGGCCAGCACCACGCGGCTGTGTGCCCCCAGGTGGTGTGCACGCTGGTGGCTGCCTTCCTCCACTTCTTCTTCCTGTCGTCCTTCTGCTGGGTGCTCACCGAGGCCTGGCAGTCCTACATGGCCGTGACTGGCCGCCTCCGGAACCGCCTCATTCGCAAGCGCTTCCTCTGCCTGGGCTGGGGTGAGTGACCGCCCCCGCCCCGGGGAGGGCCCTGGGTGAGTGTCCTCTCCCCGACCCGGGGGCCCCGGCCTCCACTGGCATGTCTGTCCCTCCGCCCCCAGCTGCGGGCTGCACACACACCTGTGTCCTCTGAGCCCGGAGGTAGAGGAGCACGCGGCCACCCTACCCTCTCCCCCCAGGGCTCCCTGCGCTGGTCGTGGCCGTGTCCGTGGGCTTCACCAAGGCCAAAGGGTACAGCACCATGAACTAGTGAGTCGGGGCGGGGTGGGGGTGGCGGCGGTCCCGGCCTTCCCACCGGAAGCTGAGGGCTGCCAGCCCATGCCCAGGGCCTCCCTCCCAGTGTCTCCCTGAGTGGCCTGGCAGCCTCTCCATGCCTCGGTTTCCCTTCCTGGGCTCTTCCTCTGCAGAAGCCCAAGCCTGGGCCGTGGCTGAGGAAAGCTTCTGACGGGGGCGGGATGAGGCGGCCCTGGGTGCCTGCGGTGGCCTCACCCCGCTGGGGGTCTGGGCGCCCGGGCTGGCCGCTGACCCGGTCCCTCTGCAGCTGCTGGCTCTCCCTGGAGGGGGGACTGCTGTACGCCTTCGTGGGACCTGCGGCCGCTGTCGTGCTGGTACTGACCCCTGGAGTCCTGCGGGGCAGCTGTGCGTGGGGGGGCGCGAGCCGTGGGCTGGAGGCTGGCTCTGTCTGCTGGAGGGGGGCCCAGAGCCCTGTCTCCCTGCCGCCTGCTTGGCCTGGGGCATCCGCATCAGTGCGGCTTCCCAGGCCGAGCCCCCAGGGGGTGGGGGACGGCCAGGCCAGTCTCCCCACAGCCTCAGCGCAGGGCTGACCCCGGGCGCCCCGGTGACCTCTGTCTACGCTGCCTGCAGCCGGGAAACCAGGTCACCGGGGAGGGGCGCCTCGTCGGGGCTCAGCTGCTGGGCCCGGAACTTTCCATTCATGGTTATAGGCAGGTGGGCTGCCGTGTCCAGAGCCACCGGAGGCTGCATGGTCCCAGTGCTGCTCATCCCCAGGCCCTGGGCCCAGGAGCGTGGCTGGGGTGGACCTCCGTCTGGAGCAGGGCCTCGGGGCCATGGGAGGGGCCCAGGAGGTCTCGGAAGGACTGGCCTGGTCCCCCCATGTGTCCCCATGGCAGCTGGCAGAGCGGGTACAGGGAGGTGGCCCCGAGAAGGGTGAGCCCCTGTGTCCTGGGCCGTGGGGCCAGGCTGGGTGCATCGGCGTCTATCTGGGCCCTCTGCCCCCTCAGTGCCCAGAGCCCGGGGTGACCCACCCCTCCCCCTGCAGGTCAACATGGTCGTGGGCATCCTGGTGTTCAACAAGCTGGTGTCTAAGGACGGCATCCCCGACAAGAAGCTCAAGGAGCGGGCGGGGTACGGCACTGCCCGCCTTGGGGCCCGGGCCCGTCAGCCTGGTCGTCAGGAGCCCTGGGTCAGAGGGGCGGGGCACGAGGGAGATCCCGGGGGCCGCTGAGCTCGGAGCCCCTGCCCGGCTGTATCTGCGGGCGTCTCCCCACCCCTCCGTGCCAGTCTGCTTGTCTCTGTGCTTCGACCCTTGCCTCTCCCTGCTGACCCGTCCTGGCCAGGCGCTCAGGTCCTCAGGTCAGCCCCGGGCCTGGACTCTGCCCCCCCCACCCACACACACTTGCAGGAGCCCCACCCAACGCCCCGCCCCTTCCGGGGGCCTGGTTGCCTCAGGCCCCCACCAACTGCACCCTGCCTCCTCTCAGATGGGCCAGGGCTGAGGCCCCACACACAGGCCACACAAAGACCCACACACGGACCCACACACCAGTACATGGTTCCACACACCTGCACACGGGCCCCACACACGGACCCACACACGAACCCACACACAGACCCACACATGGACCCACAGACCCACACACCAATACACAGTTCCACACACCTGCACACAGGCCCCACACACGGACCCACACACGGACCCACACATGGACCCACAGACCCACACACCAATACACAGTTCCACACACCTGCACACAGGCCCCACACACGGACCCACACACGGACCCACACATGGACCCACAGACCCACACACCAATACACAGTTCCACACACCTGCACACAGGCCCCACACACGGACCCACACATGGACCCACACACCCACACAGTCCCACACATGGACCTACAGACCCACACATGGACCCACACACAGACCCACACATGGACCCACACACAAATACACACACGGTCCCACACACCCACTGCATACCCCACACTCCCCTGTGCCCCATACACAGACCCATACACCCCACACGTGGAACCAAACACCCACACACAGACCCACACATGGACCCACGGACCCAGAAACGGACCTGCATACCCCACACTCACCTGTGCCCCACACATAGACCCACATACCCACACACGGACCCACACACAGACCAACACACAAATACACACACGGTCCCACAAACCCGCACACACACACACAGACCCGCATACCCCACACTCCCCTGTGCCCCACACAGGCTGGCGCTCAGCCAGGCACAGGGCAGACACGGTGCCACGGTGCCCTGTGGCTGGAGGGGCGGCTCCCCACAGCGCAGCGCGTGCACCTAGGGGACCTCACACACCCCCTGAGAGCCTGTGTGCAGGCCCGTCCCCATCCACCCTCCACTGCAATCCCACTGTGCCCTCTGCACCCAAGCCCCTGGCCCCCACCTACACCCCAGAACCGCTCCCACATGGACCATAGAGCCCCCGGCCCCTACCTGACCCCCAGAACCTACTTGTCTCCACCCCAAACTCCCGACCCCCCCACCCCATCTGCACCCCAAACTCCCAAGCCCTTGCCCTCCCCTCGCCCCAGAACCCTCTAACCCTCAGCTGCACCCCAGAACCCCCAACCCTCACTCCCGGCCCTGCTCCCTGGGTCCCTGGGGGACTGTGTGTGCTTTTGTTTCAGCCTTTTAATGTCGCCTGCAGTCAGTGCCCCCAGCCCGCCTCGGGTGTGCCCCTAACTGTGCCACATGAGCAACTCTCTGAGGCCGACGCTGCCTCCGACGCCGCCTGCGATGCCATGTTAGTGCCCCCCCACCCCTCGAGCTGCCGGTGTCCGCCGCTCTGTCACTGTGGGCACGTCTGTAGTCCACTCTGGGCTGCCAGGTGCCCCTGCCCTACCCCGCTCCTTTCTCTCACCCCCCCCGGGCCCAGACAGAGGACCACGGGGCGCCCGGCAGGCGTGGGAGACAGAGTCAGGGTCTGCTCTATCATGTGCTGAGCACGGGCATCCCAGGCGTGCAGGGCGGCGTGGTGTGTTCACGTGGGCTTGTGTGGCCATATGTGGCTGTACATGGGTGTGCATGAGTGCCCAGAGATGTCCATGAGTACGCAGGGATGGGCATGGGTACACATGACTGTTCATAGATGTACATGAGTATTGAGTGTGCATGGGCGTATGTGGATGTGTACATAGGTACACCTGGGCGTGCATGGTTACATATCGGTACCCATGGTCCACATGGGTGTACATGGGTGTACCTTTGTGTGTGTGAACGTTCACAAGTATCTGCACGAAGGTTTGACTGTTAACATGTCCATGTGGGCATGTGTGTATATGGTTTTTAGTGTGTGTGCCTTTGGGCCTGTGTATTAGTGTGCATGTGTGCCTGTCTGCGCGTGTCAGCTAGAAATGGTTGTCCGTGTCTATGTGTGTTGGCTGTGTGTGCGTGCATATGTCGGCATGGAGAAACTATTTGTGTCTAAGTACATGGTAGCGGCGTGTGCATGTGTGCGCATGTCAGTGTGGAGCATTGTCCATGTCTGTGTACATACTTTCTGTGAGTGTGCATGTGTGTGCATGTTAGCATGGACTATCCGTGTCTGTGTACATGTTTGCTGTGTGTAAATCGTTTGCGTGTCAGCATGGAAAGACTCCATGTCTGTGCATGTTGACTTTGTGTGAATCATGTGCGTGTCAGCACGGGGAGACTGTCCATGTCTGTGTACATACTTTCTGTGAGTGTGCACATGTGCGTGTTAGCATGGATTGTGCATGTCTGTGTACATATTGGCTGTGGGTACGTGTGTGTGTGTCAGTGTGGAGTGCTTATGTGAGTGGCATGTGGTGGCTGCGTGGGCGGACTGTCCCGTGTCCCTTCTCAGGGTCCCAGCCAGGTGTTGGAGAACTCTCCTGGTGGGGCCAGGACGGCTGCGGGCACCATGCACGCCTGAGGCTGTCGGTGTGGCCCTGCCCCCTCCAGCCTGTTCTCAGCACCCCTATAGGATCTGCTGTGAGTGAGGACAAGTCCTGCCCACATCTGGCCCTGAGCTGCTGCCAGGGCTGGGGGGGGGTTGGCTGTGGGGGTCCGTGTGCCCCCCAGGCTGATTTGGGCTGTGCATGGCACCCTGGCAGAAGGGCCCAGGCCATAAGAGCGGCTGTGCCTGACGGGGTCCGTGTCCTGCCGGGCTCCGCTGCCCCGCCTTGCTGTCCCCAGTGCTGTGCCAGCCCCTTCCTGCGACCTGTGCTGCCCCCAGCCCACACTCCTCATCCATGACAGGAAGCACCCCAGGGGGTCCCTGTGAGCTATTCCCAGGTCCTCCTGCATCCAGGCATGATACCACATGCTCTGTCCCCGTACAGAGTTGGCAGCACGATGGCTTGTGGCCACTATGGTGCCACCAAGAGGGCCATGGGCTGCAGAGCGTCATGTCTGCCCACGCATACTCCAGGAGGACTCCCTGGAGGCAGGGGCTGTGTGCAGCAGAGGAAGCCCTTCTCGGGGCACTGCGAGCAAGCGCAGGAAGTACTGTCTGTCCCTGTCTGTCTCTGCCTGCTGTCTGTCCCTCCTCCACAGAGGAAGGCTCTCTCCTCTCCCTTCTGTCTCTCTCCCTCTCTCCAGAGCTCGAGGCCTGGCCGAGGACCATCCCTGTGGGTGGCCACCTGGGTTGCTGAGGGCTGGGGAGCGGGACCCGGCAGGGGTCTCCCAGGCCTACACAGTCCCCTCTCCAGTGGCCGGGGACAGCCAGGAACGGGCTTTCTGGGGAGCCGCCCCCTCCCTGGGGGCTGCCAAATTCCCAGGGACTCGCGGGTGGGGCAGGGACTGCTGAACTCTGGCTGGGGGAGGCAGCTGCAGGCTGGGCAGAGAGAGGGTGGAGGGGGGTGGGAGGGAACTAGGTCACCAGGACACCCAGGAGCTTGCCAGGGGCCAAGTCAAGGAGGCAGGCTGAGGCCGGGGAGGGCGTGTCCGGGGCGGGGCTTTGGCGGGGACAGGGGTCGGTGGGCGTGTCCGGGGCGGGGCTTCGGCGGGAGGCGTGTCCGGGGCCCCTGCCCTGACGCTCAGCTCCGCAGGGCCTCGCTCTGGAGCTCCTGCGTGGTGCTGCCTCTGCTGGCGCTGACCTGGATGTCGGCTGTGCTCGCCGTCACCGACCGCCGCTCCGCCCTCTTCCAGATCCTCTTCGCCGTCTTTGACTCGCTGGAGGGCTTTGTCATCGTTATGGTGCACTGTATCCTGCGGAGAGAGGTGGGCGCGGGCAGGGCGGCTTGCTCCGGGACCTTCCCCTGCACGGGGCGGGGACGCCAGCTTGGGCCCCTGTCCTCTGCACCAGGGGCGGCTGGGGGTGCTGGCTGCAAGCTGAGGCAGCGCTGATCCGACCCAGTGGCCAGTCCCGAGCGGCCCAGGGTCCCACCCTCGGGGTCCGCCTGGGCCTCGTGAGGGCTGCATGGGGTTGTGTGGGGTGAGATGTGTCGCCCTGCTCAGAGGGTTGGGATAGCTGGAAAAACGAACGCTGGAAGGGGTGGGGGCGTGGAGTCCTGCGCAGTGACCATCTCCAGGGCCCTGAGGCTGTCGGTTGCCCGGGCTCGCCTTGGGCTAGTTGTGTGACTCCGACCGTGTGTCCTTCTGTCTCTGGGCTTGTCCCCGTCTGTACTTGGTCAGCTCACAGGCCCAAGCAGAGGAGCCAGGAGCCGTGCCCACCCTCCCCTAACCTCTCCCAAGACTCCTCTGTGAGGCCCCCTGCCGCCGACCAGCCCTTTCCCTCCCTGCAGGTCCAGGACGCCGTCAAGTGCCGCGTAGTGGACCGGCAAGAGGAGGGCAACGGCGACTCGGGGGGCTCCTTCCAGAATGGCCACGCCCAGCTCATGGTAGGGAGCCGGTGCCCTGGGCCAGGGTCAGGCCTGGGCTCCCCGCACTGTCCTGGCCCCTCAACCCACCCCTCTGCCTTCCAGACCGACTTCGAGAAGGATGTGGATCTGGCCTGCAGATCAGGTGAGCGCCTGGCAGGTGAGAGCGCCGGGGGGCCAAGCCGGGCCCACCCGCTTCTTTCTCTACTCCATGCATCTGTCTGTCCATCTGTCTGTGCTCATCCCACCCCGCCTTCCACGTGGGCTGGCTGGTCTGCTCAGGCGTGGCCGGGCCGCCCCCACCCCTTCTTCCTGCCTTCACTTCTCCATTGTGATCCAACCCTGGGGCGGACCTTCAGGCCAGGTGGGGGCCGGGGCCCAGGGGTGGCAGGGACATGTCACTAGAACCCTCGGCTGGCATCGACCTTCCTGGAAGCAGGTGCAAAAGGGGGTCCGATTGCCATGTCCGGGTGTCTTCACTGCACAGGGCCACTGGCAGTCTGTCTGGCCACGCTCCTTCTGGCTAGTTCAAGGTCTGTGGAAAAGCTCTAGCCGGAGCCCTGCAACCCAGGTGCACAGAGGTTGCCAGGCAAACTCAGGAGGGCTTCCTGGAGAAGGTGACCTCTGGGCTGCTCAGGAACTGGGCAGAATAGCTTTCCTGCACCCTCTCATCCTAGGTGCTATAATAAGCCAACCTCCCTGACAGGTGGCCCCAAGTCTTTGGGGCACAGTGCCAGCCCTGTTAGGGTGGCACCAGCTATGTGCACTCCAGATGCCATCCTCCAGCCTGTCCTTCGGTTCTGAGGGTAGAGGGTGATGGGGAGGGGCAGGACCGCTGGGCAGGAGGCTGGACTGAGGCAGGACCCCTCTGGAACGGGAAGGCATGGGGGGAGAGAGGGCAGGGCCGAGGGAAGGAGCAGGAAGGGGAAGGGCAGGGGGCAGGGGCACGCCCAGCAACGAGGACACTGACCCCCTTACCGGGCAGGAGGGGCTGCACAGACCACGCTGGGGCCCAGGTCAGAGGCCAGGCAGCCAAAGAGAAAAAGGGTGCTGGGCCCAGGGACAGTCCCCCCCAGCCGCAGCTGGGTGTCAGCCTGGCCCTCGGCAGTGGGGTAGGCTCACCCGGCCGCGCCTGACCCCCGGCCCTGTCCCCCAGTGCTCAACAAGGACATCGCGGCCTGCCGCACGGCCACCATCACCGGCACGCTGAAGCGGCCCTCGCTGCCCGAGGAGGAGAAGCTGAAGGTGCCCCCCAAGGCGGCGCCGCCCCCCAACTTCAACAGCCTCCCAGCCAACGTGTCCAAGCTGCACGCACACGGGTCCCCGCGCCGCGGCGGTGCACCCCTGCCAGACTTCCCCAACCACTCGCTCACCCTCAAGAGGGACCGCGCACCTAAGTCCGCCTTCGTGGGCGACGGGGACATCTTCAAGAAGCTGGACTCGGAGCTGAGCCGCGCCCAGGAGAAGGCGCTGGACACGAGCTACGTGGTCCTGCCCACGGCCACCGCCACGCTGCGGCCCAAGCCCAAGGAGGAGACCAAGTACAGCATCAACCTGGACCAGATGCCGCACACGCGCCTCATCCACCTGGACCTGGCGCCTGACGCCGGCCCCGTGCGCAGCCCCCCGGCCCGCGAGCCCCCGGCCCAGCCCCCCGCCCAGCCCCCACCGCCGCCGCCACCGCCGCCCCCGCCGCAGCCGCCGCAGCCGCCTCTGCCCCCGCCGCCCGCGCCCCCCAGCCTGGGGGAGCCCGCCCCGCACCCGGGCTCCAGCGCGGGCGCCACCAGCAAGGGCGAGAACATGGCCACGCTCTCCGTGGGCTCCCTGGAGGTGAGGGGCGGGGCCTCGCGGGAGGGGCGGGGTCTTGAGGGAGGGGGCAGGTCGCGGGGAAGGGCTGGGGAGAGGCGGAGCCTCGCGGGAGGGGGCGGGCCGAGGGGAGGGGCCGGGAGGTTTGGGGCGGGGCCAGGCCCGGGGCGGGCCGTGAGCAGGGGCTGAGGAAGGGAGGGGCGGGGCTTCGCGGGAAAGGGGGGCCGCGGAGAGGGACTGAGGAAGGGCCGAGTTGGATTGTCCTTCCCAGGCGCTGGTCCCCAGCAGTGGTGCCACCTTGGCAGAAGGCCTGCCCCCTGGCCCCAGCAGCTGACCTGCGCCTGTCTGGGCACCAGTGCAGCCTCTGCTGTGGGGGCAACCACTGAACCCCTACCCACTCTGCTCCTCGGGCCTAGAGCTGAGCCTGGGGACTGCGACAGCCCGAATCTCCTTGGGCGTGAGAGTCCCGGGCCAGACCCTTCTCTGGGTGCGGGGACAGCCCTGGTCCCGGCGGGTGCAGGCCAAAGGTGGGCACCCGGGGCCCGGTTCCCTTTGCACATGACCTCTTCTCCCCGCAGCGGCGGAAGTCGCGGTACGCTGAGCTGGACTTTGAGGTGGGTCCTGCAGACACCTGGGAAGGCGACAGGTGGGTGGGGGGCTGGGCAGCAACCCCCCCTCCGCCCCGAGCGACCCCACCCGGCCATGCCTCTGCCCCTGCAGAAAATCATGCACACGCGGAAGCGGCACCAAGATATGTTCCAGGACCTGAACCGGAAGTTGCAGCAGCACGCTGAGAAGGACAAGGAGGCCCTGGGAGCGGACAGCAAGGTCTGGGGGCGGGGCCGGGAGCGGCAGTGGCGGGGCCGGGCGGTCGTGGGCGGGGCTTGGCGGGCGGGGCGGGGCGGGGCGGGGGCTGACGGGCGGGGCGGGCGGGGGCGCCCCCGGCGGGGGCCGGCGGCCTCAGCCTGCACCGGCCCCTGGCGGAGGGCGTGACCGGCCTCTCGGCGGTGACCGGCCTCTCCGCGCGCGGGAGCAGCTGGAGCGGCAGCAGACGCCCCACAAGCGGCCCTGGGAGAGCCTGCGCAAGGCGCACGGGACGCCAGCCTGGGCCCGCAAGGAGCTGGAGCCGCTGGCGCCGGCGCCGCTGGAGCTGCGAGGCGGCGTGGAGTGGGAGAAGTCGGGCGCCACCATCCCACTGGTGGGCCAGGACATCATCGACCTCCAGACGGAGGTCTGAGCAGGCGGCGGCGGCCACGCACCGACCACCGGGACGGACGCCCCGCCCGCGCCTGCCGCGGGCCAGGCGCAGGCACTGCAGGACGCGGGCCAGGCCCGCAGCCGGCCTCGGGGCGCTGGGCAGAGGCCGGCAGTGCCGGGACCAGAGCCACGGGGGACAGGAGCGGCCGCCCCGCGGGCACCGGGCTCCGGAGGCCGCGCACGCGCGCGGGCCGCAGACTCTGCCCTCCTGGGGCCCAGCTCCGGGCCAGGGTCCGTGGGCTGTGGCCGGCCAGTGTGGCCTGCCCCCCCACCTCTGGCTGAGGATCTGCCCGCCGGGCTCCGCGGCCTGGCGCCGTTTTTAGACACCCCACCTTCGGGAAGCAGCAGCCCCATACTTCCAGGGCCCTGGGCCCCCCAGACCCAGGAGAGCACAGCCCTCCCCCTGCCCACCCCTGGGGCAGGGCCAGAAGCCCCCTCCGCAAGAAGCAGGGCTGGGGAATCTATTTTTTCTCTCCTTTTCTTTTCTTCAATAAAAAGAATGAAAAACCTATGTTGTCTATGTGCCTCCAAGGTGTCCCTCCCGCCTCCGCAGGGATCAGCAGCCAAGGGCCCCCCCCAAGTCCCGCCCGGGCTGGTAGGTGCCCTGGACATCCATGTGTCCCAGCATGCAGCACAGAGGCAACCCCTGGCCTCTCGTACCCCCCACACTCAGCTCCTACAGGCCTGTCTTTGTGAGGTCCTGCCCCCAGGGTTGGGTGGCCCGGTTCAGGGCAGGAGTGAGGGGACACGTGGGGGCCAGGCCCAGACCTCTATCCCGAGCAGCAGTGCCCTGTACTATCTCCGTGTGTCCACCAGGGGGCAGCCTCAGCCTCCACACGCGCAGTCACCGCTGCTGTTAGCTGGGCAGACCCTGGGAGCCCCGGAGGCCATAGACAGGGGAGAGGGGGTGCAGTAGGCATCTGGGGGGTCCCTGCACCCTGAGGTCCCAGCTGTCACTCGTCACTGCAAAGAGGGCGCCACCCCACAGCAGCTCATTGCCTCTGCAGGGTGGGGGCTCTCTGGGACAGGAGCTACCCTGCCCACATGAGGACAGACTGGCCCACGTCCAGGCAGCAGCCCAGAGTAGGGAAAAGAACCTGAGTGCCTAAGTGGGTCCAGGAGGAGGCTCCGAGTATGTACCTGGGGGCAGTGAGGGACAGACAGGGACAGCAGATGCCTGGCATAGGGACACGGGGCAAGGCTGCCAAGAGAATGGGCTCTGCATGTGCGTCCCAGAGCACCTCGGGGGGCAGAACCCCACAGCCAAGCTCAGGCACATACCGGGCCGGGTGTGGGGGCTGCAGGGGACAAGGGCACTGGGGGCTGGGAGGAACAGGGCAGGGGGCAGGGCTGCAGAGGGCTGGGGCCACGGGAGACAGGGACACAGAGGGATGGGCCATGGGCACAGGGAGGAGGTTACTGCCTGCTGTGCTGGACTGCCCCAGCCCCACACATAGCCCCACACATAGCCAGTGCAGGTCCAGGCATCCCTCTCCCCAGCGCCTCCACACGGGAACCCAGCTCACTGCACCCCTGCCTGCTCAGCCCCAGGCGCCACACACAGACCCACTGAGGCAACCACACCAGCTACTCCCAGCACAACCCAGAAAGCACAAGGGCAGGGGAGGTCAGAGCAGTGGTGTCAGAGGTCAGAGTGATGGGGTCAGAGGTGGCAAGGTCAGAGAACATCAGACGGAAGGTGAGAGAACAAGGTCAGGGTGTGATGGGATCAGTGTGGCAGGGTCAGCATGTGATAGGTCAGTGAATTACAGGGTCAGAGAGTGACAGGGTCAGAGTGTGACGGGTCAGAGAGAAGGGGGTAACAGTGTGATGGGGTCACAGTGGCAGAGTCAAAGTGACCTGGTCAGTGTCCCTGTCTGCCACGCTGTGTCTCTGGCAGAGGCCACACTGTGTGGTCAGGCCGCCCGTGTCCCTCTGTTCTCAGTTCTACTCTGCTGGGAGGCTGCTCAGCAGGTGGCGTCTCCCTCCTGCTCTCAGTGCTGGCCGCCTTCTGGAATGTTCCCTCAAGATCCCCAGAGCGGGGGCTGGAGTGATAGCACAGCGGGTAGGGCATTTGCCTTGCACACGGCCGACCCACGTTCGATTCCCAGCATCCCATATGGTCCCCCGAGCACCGCCGGGAGTGATTCCTGAGTGCATGAGCCAGGAGGAACCCCTGTGCATTGCCGGTGTGACCTGAAAAGCCATAAAAAAAAAAAGGATCCCCAGAGCGCTTGGGCTCTGGATCAGCCGTGTGGCCTCTGTGATGAGGTGACACTGGACCCTCCACTCCCCCCATCCCGCACACTCCACTCAACTCTGGACAGAGGCCCCGGATCTTCCCATGGGAGAGAAAACTGAGGCATAGGAGGCAAGGCCAGCTATGAGAACACAGGGGTCCTGGCTGGCCCCACAGTGCTCCCTGAACTATCTTGGTTGGTTGGTTGGTTGGTTGGTTTGGGGCCCACACCCGGCAAAACTCGGGGGTTACTCCTGGCCCTGCACCCAAGAACCGTATGGGATGTCGGAGAAGAAAAGCAAGTGCCCTCTCACCGCACAGCTGCTCTGGGCCCAGATGGTCTTGGCCTTTGTACAAGTGTCACCCTTTCCTGGGGACCTGTGAGTGACCAGTGAGACTGAGACCATCTCTCTGGCATGTCTATGTGCCACACCAGATGTGGGGCTGAGGATAGCAGCGGTCACCATGATGGGCGGTAACTGCACAGGCAAAGCTTGTGATTGGTGTACAGCCAGAGAGCATGTGGCGATGGTATTGGTGCTGATGGTGCTGTTGGTGTTGGTGATAATGGTGGTGTGATGGTTGTGGTGGTGGTGGTGGTGGTGGTGATGGCGGTGCTGGTGGTGGTTATGGCGGTGGTGGAGGTGGTGGTGATGGTGGTGATGGTGGTGATGGTGGTGGTGGTGGTGGTGGTGATGATGTGATGATGGTAGTAGTGGTGATGATGGTGGTGATGGTGATTATGGTGGTGGTGGTGGTGATGGTGATGACGGTTGTGACAGTGATGGTGGTGATGGTTTTGTGATGTTGGAGGTAATGATGGTGATGGTGTTGGTGGTGACAATGTTGGCAAGAATGATAGCGATGATAGGGACAGCAATGGTGGTGACGGTGTGAAGCTGGAGCTGGTTTGGGTGCTAATGCCCAAGAGGACAGCCACATGATCCGTATTACCAGAGCCAGTTTCTGGAAGGTGGCCGAAGAGTCTTTTTCCTGTGCTCAGGAGTGACGCCTGGTAGTTCTGGGACACTACATGGCAGAGTGTTTGGGTGGCAGGAGGGAGGACCAGAGTCGGCTGATACAAGGCAAGCGCCCGAACCCAGGACCATCTCTCGGGCCCCAATGATGAGGCATTTTAGACTGAGCAGAGGCATTCACCACATCGCACTTCTCCCCCACACACCCCAGGAGAGCAGAGTGGAGGGGTGGAGGGGCAGACAGCACAGAAACTGCCAGAGCACTGTAAGTGGAGTCCAAGCCGGGCAGACTGCAGGAGCCCATCAGTGTCCACTTAGCCACCCAACTACTCCCTGTACCCCAGCAGCATGGTCCCAGGCCACAGCAAATGCCCCCAGAACACCCTTTGCCTGATGTAGGAAGCCCTGCGACCTGGCTCTGCTACTCCTGCCCCCTGCCCTCTGCCCTCTACTTTCTCAAGCTCTTCCGCAGGTACCTCTGCCTGTATTCAGGAAGAACAGCTTCTAGCTCTCCCAGCCCCCAAGCCCAGCTCCGCAGGGGGTCTTGTCACCAGACAGAAATGCTTCCTGCTTCAGGACTTGTTCCAGAACCTTCCATTAGCCAGGAGATTTCTGTTGGCTCACTGAGCCAGGTCAGTGTGACTCCCTCCAGGATGCACTGGCGGGCCCAGGCAGCCCTGACATACACTGGGGGTGCAGCAGCCACCCCAACCCCCCGCACGGGCCTAGGCGCCAAGGCCTGCCCCCCTTGTCTCAGGAGGCCCTGAGTGTGTGGGGGGGAGGGGTCCCAAAGCCCTTCCAGGCCAGAGCTGCCTGTCCTCTGCCTCCCCCCCCCCCCCCCGCAGCCCCGTGGGAGCTGGGCATGCTCTTGGCTCCTGTAGGACCCCACTCCGTGCCCCAGCCCGGACCCCCCCTAAGGGACTCTGCTTCCATGGGATGTGGTCACAGACCCCAAAGTGGACACAACTGACAGATTAGGGTGAACCCTGGACTGCCCATGCCACCGAGGCTGTGGGCAGGTCTGGTGCTCCGAGGGGCGGGGTCTGGGGAACAGGCTATGACTCGGCAGGCACGTCAGCGCGGGGGGCCGCGAGCTCCCCAAGTGTTTTTCAGGCCCTAAAAATAACCAGGAGGGAGGGCGCCTCTGAATAGCTGCCGGCGGTGCCAGTCACTCTCCCACGCGGAAGGGGCGCCAAGGAGGCCGGGCAGAGCCGGAAGCACCTGCGTCAGCCTCCCAGAACCTTCCCGGGCAGGGGTGACGGCAAGCCTGGACCAAGGTTCCCCATAGCTCCCAGCGGCTAAGATCCAGAGGCACTTTCTGGGGTACCCCTGGACCCCTCAGCCCAACCCACACTGCCCCCCCTACAGCCCTAGGGGCGAGGGTCTGGCCAAGGGTGTGCAGGGCTGCCCAGAGAGGACGGAGCTCCTGGGGTTCTCTCCTGTCTCCCAAGCCTGGGGGCCCAGAGACAAGGGACCCAGCTGGGCTGTCCAGGGACACGGAGGCGGTGTTGCGGGGCTCAATATGGCTTTTGGGAACACCATATGGAGCCTGCCAGGAGGGGGCGGAGGCACTTCTCCACCCCCACCAAGGGAGCTCCAGGGAGAGAGAAGGCCCGAGGTGGGGGCTTTGGGATAGCCGGCACCCACGGCTCCCCCGCACTGTGCTTCCCGGCCCCCTCTCCGGCCCCTCAGTCCTCAGGGAGGGCCACTGGGGGGAGGGGGGTCTCTGCAGTGCCCCCAGGTGGTGGGGAGACGTGCAGCCCCAGCTTGGTGTGCGCCCTACATTTCTCAGAAGGGCAGGAAAGGGACATCCAGCCGAGATCCCAGGCCTAGACCCGTGCTGGCAGCCAGAAGGTGCCCCCTTTCTGCCAGCCCAGCACCAGGAGGGGGAGTGGGAGGGGCAGCCCTGCCCAGCGACCCCGTCTGTGGAGGGTCGACCAGGCTTGGTCCCCCGCACTACACAGGAGTGACCCCAAGACACGGGCCAAGTTCCCAGTGCCTCCTCCGACCCGACCGCCAGCCCCCGGAGTGTGGCTCTCCCCTCGCGCCCACTCTCTGCCGTGGCCTGCGGTGGCCCTGGACAGAAGGGGGACCCCAGGGTGGCATCCAGTATGCAACTCTGCCCTGGGTCAGCGGCAGGTTCCCGAGCCCGGGTGGAAGGGTCAACCCAGAGAGAGGCCCCTGGGTCCATGCCTGGGCTGGCAGAGGCCACCTCGACCCTAATGAGGACAGTCAGAAGTCCGGGGACATGCACTTTTAAGAGACTGGACAGCAGCAGAAACAGCAGTCACGGGCGGGGGACAAGGGGCGGGCGGCTCAGTCAGAGGTGCAGCGCGACAGCTCGGCGAGGTCCTCCTGGAAATGCCGGTAGAACCTGCGGCTCTCCAGGTCCTCCTCCCGACGGCTCTCAAAGCCTGCAGCAGAGACCAGGGGGCAGGGGCCGGGCCAGGAGGGGCGGAGGCGGGGCGGGGGCGTGGCTCTGACCTGGGAGCCCAGGGCGGGGTGTGGAGGGGGTGGGGCCACAGGACCTGGCCGGGGCTGGACTCACTGCTCCTGAGGATCTTGATGCCATCCCTCTTTAGGAAGAAGCAGATATCCGCGAAGTAGTCCTGCAGCAAGGTCCCTGCGAAGGGGGGCGGAGGGCAAGGGGCCTCCTGCTCTGCCAGGTCCAGGTGGGGCTGGGATGGGGCCGGGGACGGGCGGGGGTGGGGTTGGGGGAGTGGGCGGGGCTAGTCATCGAGGCGGGGCCAGCAGCACTGAGGGCGGGGCGCGGCCAATCAGGCAGCCCTGCGAGAGTGGCGCGGGCGGGGCCTGTTCTGGGGCGGGGCTAGCAGCACAGAAGGCGGGGCACGGGCCAGGGGCGGGGAATGGGGCGTGGCCTAACAATCAGCCCTGTGGGCGTGGCGTGGACGGGGCCAGTCCTGGGGCGGGGCCAGTAAGCACCGAGTGGGGCGCAGCCCGCAAACCAGCCCTAAGGGTGATGCATGGGGCGGGGCCAGCTCTCGGGGGCGGGGCTATAGGCGGGACAGACCAACCCGGAGGGAGGAGCACGGGCTGGGGCAGAGCCAGGCCTCGGGGGCGGGGCCTACCGACGAACTTCCTGGCCGCCAGCTTCATGGTCTGGTAGGGGCTCTCTAAGTAAGCCAAGCCCTGGATCAGAAGCAGGTGGTAGTTGCCGAAGTTGCTCTCCACCTGCGGAAGGACAGGGGCCATTGGCCAGGCCCTTCCGGATGGGAATAGCAGGACCCTCCTTCCCTTGAGGGAGACCCCTTCGGCCCACCCTCACATCTCTTCCGTGAACCCCACCCCCACCGATAGTTTTACTGAACTGAGCGGGAATAGGCAGGTTCTCTGGGGAATGGCAAATTGGAGATGGGGAGGGGCTCGTGGGAGCCCTGAGGTAGGGGGGCTTCATCACTGCAAAGCCACACACTTGACTCTATCAGACTCAATAAAGCCCTTTGCACCGCCAGACTGGCGTGAGAGGCCAGACCAAACAGCTCTGCAAACCCAGCCTGGCAGAGCTCGAGGAGTGGAGCCTGCAGGGAAGCCCCGCCCCAGCAAGGCCCTAGGGGTGGAACTGGAGGGGAGCCCCGCCCACCACAGGGCTCTGGGGTGGGGTTGGGGGAGGGGAAGGCCCGCCCCCTCGGGCCAATGGGTGGGGCCAAGGGAAGCCCTACCCCTGCATGGACCTAGGGATGGAGTCAGAAGAAGCTCCGTCCCTGCAGGTTCCTAACGCCAGGGCACCTGTACAGCCCTTAGTGGTCAGGATCTACAGAGCAGAGGAAGGAAGACTGATTCTGCCCTCTGCTGCCTTGGAAATCTGCCCACCCTCCCAGGAAGCTTCTGCCATGACCCTCCGCCCAGCCTGTGCTCTCGAAGCCTCTTCTGGGAAGCCCTGATTGCCCAAGCTGTGCCCAGAGACCTGCACGCTGCCTGCTGGAGACACTTGGGACCCTGGCTGGGTCCCCGCTCCTCCCAGCCCTCCCCCTCCCACAGGGACCAAGTTGCAAGCAGGGGGAGTTCGTTCTGCATCTGAGCCCCAACCCAAGTGCCAGGGGTGCCTCGGACATTTCAAGTGAATGAGGGGACACAGATATTCTGAGGGATCTTGGGAACGTGCTCTAGACAGCCGCTGAGAGTGAGCCCAACTGGAGGGCTCCTGCGAGACTGGCGGCCCCCAGCCCTTAGGTACCAGTGGAAACCCAGGTGCTCAACCTGGTCCCCTGATCTGAGGCTGTGCCAGCTGGCTGCGCAGTCTCAGCTGGCCCCTCCCCAGGGCCACGGGTCTGGGCCTGTTCCCAGCTCTGGGGACATTCGTCTCTAAGTGAACACCAGGTGGTGCCATGACACCCCCAGGCGCCCCTGGTCCAGTCCACTATGAACTCTACTGCCCAAAGGTGGAGCGAGAACTGCAGAGACCAGATGCCCTGGGTGTAGGGGCGCCCGTGAGCCTCCCCTGGTACTGCCACTCACCGTGTAGGTGAAGATGTCAGTCTCGGCTCCCAGGCCCTGGCCCCACGCTAGCCTGCTGAACAGCTCCTTCTGGAACTGCCACTTGAGCAGGGTAGCACAGCGTAGGAAGGTGAACTTTGTCTTCTAGGAGACAGCAGAGAGATGGTTGCCCCCTGCCCCGTCATCATACCTCCAGGTCAGCCCCAGGAGAGGTCTGGAGAGACCCTCAGCTCTCACTGCCCCCCCTGGGGTCGCCTCTGTTTGCGCCTATCCAGGCCCAGGGCACCCCACAGCAGTCCTTGGGTGGCATCCTGTGTCAGAAGAGATTGACGTGGTGATTACCTGTTCAGGGGCGCTGGAGATAATCTGCAAGGCAAAGTGCCCAACCCAGGTCCCTCTTACAGCAGAGAGGCGAGACCAAGGAGGTAGGACAGTGTCAAGACACATGTGTCAGGCCATGTTCCATCCTGGCACTGCATGGCCTCTCAAACACTGCCTGGAGCCCCACCCCCACCCCACCACCACCACCACTGTTGGGTGTGACCCCCATGGTCACAGGCACAATAGTACCAGAGCACTAAACCACAGGCCAAGTTGGCAGGGGGCGGCTGGAAGGGACCCCCTGAGCACCTTTTGAGGATCCCCAATGGAAGGAAAAAGCAACTGAAATGGCAGAGTGACAGTGAGGAGCAAAGACGGGCGTCTTTTGAGGAGGCGTCTGCTTGAGCCCATATCTGCAGCCCACCCTGTCCACCAGGCCCCTGGCTTACTCTCTCCCCAGAGGGTTCCACTATCTCACCCCAGTCAGGGTCCCCTGAGCAGTAGCACCCCTGCAGGGAGAAGGGTCATGGCCTGAAAGTCCAGGTCCACCCACAAATCTCTCCTGGGAATGAGAGTGTTTTGCTGGGGCCAGGCAGGCGCTGGTCTACACCAGAATCTTCGATGGTGTGTCCATGGGGGCAGGAAGCATCCCAGGTGCTTGGCTCCTAGGGCCGGGGTGTGTGTGCATGTGCATGCTTGTGTATCTGCATGTACACATATGTGCATGCAAGTGCGCATATATCTGCAAGTGTATCTGCACGTGCACATATGTGTGTGCCTGTCCCTGGAAGGAAGTGAGGTGTCTCCACCTGTAAGGCTGGCCCGCCTCCACCCTTGTCTGGCCCTGGGGGTTCCGTAGCGGCTCACCAGGACCACCTCGGGGCAGGGGTCAGCCAGGTGTAGGAGCAGCGGCACCACAGCCTGGAAGACCTGGTTCTGGAGCTGGATCCGGGACTTCTTCCCGCTGTGCAAGGCCTCCCCGTACAGCTTGATGGCAGCGGCACGCACCTCCTCGTGCTCCTGCAGCCACAGGCAGGGGGTTGGCTCTGTGCTGCAGAACCCGTGACCACCTGTCCCGCAGACCTTGTAGGGTACAAGCCGGTCGCTGCGGAGAGGCTGAGGTCTCATGGTGTAGACCTGTAAGGCACTGGGACCCTAGGTGAGGCCCACACAGCCTGTGACTCGGTTTCCCCAATTGCAAACAATAGTGCTGCCCTGACTCCCCAACTTCTCCCACCTCCACCTCACCTGCAACCCCCATGGGGACAAAGCAACGCCTCAATTCCTGCCTAGCCCCACCTCGCAGTCCCCAGAGTACCCCACTGCAGCCCACCCTCAGCCAGTGGACTCTGTAGGCTAGGGAGAGGCTGTTGTGATTGGTGGTGGTGGTGGTGGTAGTGGGTCCAGCAGCTTGGACTGCTCTGATTGGGGGGAAGATGGAGTGTGGCTGCTCTGATTGGTGAGGAGATGGACAGCCCTGATTGGTGGGGAAAGGGACTGCCCTGATTGGTGGGGAGATGGACGAGCTGCGGCTAGGACTGCTCTGATTGGGGGGAAGATGGAGCGTGGCTGCTCTGATTGGTGAGGAGATGGACAGCCCGGAGAGGGACTGCCCTGATTGGTGAGGAAATGGACAGCCCTGATTGGTGGGGAAAGGGACAGCCCTGATTGGTAGGGAGATGGACTACTCTGATTGGTGGGGAGATGGACGAGCTGCGGTTAGGACTGCTCTGATTGGGGGGAAGATGGAGCGTGGCTGCTCTGATTGGTGAGGAGATGGACAGCCCTTGGTGGGGAGAGGGACTGCCCTGTTTGGTGTGGAGATGGACAGCCCTGATTGGTAGGGAGATGGACTGCCCTGATTGGTGGGGAGATGGACGAGCTGCAGCTAGGACAGCTCTGATTGGGGGGGAGGTGGAGGGCTGCTGCAGCTTGGACTGTTCTGATTGGCTGGCTGCAGCCGGCACTGTGGACTGGCAGGTTTTACTCACGTTATCGAACAGAGGCTGCAGCAGCATCAGGAGCTTGATGTCGGAGACCCGAGAGCCCCGTGCTCCCAAGTGATGCAGGATTTCCCCCAGGAGCGCCACCAGTGCCACGAAGTCTTGCGGCTCAGGCATCAGGAAACTGTCCAGCAGCCGGACCAGCTCTTTCTGTAGCAGGGATACCTGTACGGAGACGACGCCCAGGTCCCTGCTCATCTAGGCTGCTTCGCACTCCGCTCCCTGCGCCTTCCCCACTGCGCAAGTGTGGGCTGGGTGGGCAGACTGTAGGTCACACGCCCTGGCCAGCCCAGTCCTGGACCGCATCTTGCGGTGTGCCTGGCCAATGCGAAAGGATTCCTGCCCTGCCAGGACGCCAAAGCCCCTGGCATTAGGATCTAGTCCCCAGCCCTATGCAGCAAGGACCCTTTCCCACCTGGGCTTCATATGCCCTGACCCTCCAGCCCCGCTCGCCCTCACACCTTCTTGGGATGGATCATGACGCTGCTCAGACCCTTCAGACTCGTGGTCTGCACCAGCAGGCTGGAGTTGTGCAGGCCCAGCGTCAGGACGTTTTTCATGCTCTGCCGGGAGGCATGCAGGGTGATGTCCGGGCTGTTGAGAAGCTGAGGTGGGTTGGCCAGGTTGGCTGGTGCTCAGGGCTACTGCGTGGGCGCCACGTGGGAGCAGGGGTGGCACTGGGAGCTGACCTCAGTGACCAGGACGATGGCCACATTGTGGTCCCGCTGCTCGTAGCTCTTCATGGAGATGATTGCTTGGCCCAGGACAGCCTTGATCTCGCAGCTGTACTGTACCATGGCCCTGCAAAGGAAAGGGGCTTCCCAGGGGTCTCAGGGCTCCACCCTTGAGCTGGGGAGCCCCTGGTTCCCTAGACTCAGGAGAAGACACAGGTCCCAAAGTGGGGGAGCAGCGAGCCTCGCTGCTGCGGGACCTTTACCTGGCCAGGAGACTCAACCCCTCCGTGTAGGTTTCAGGGTGCTCAAAGAGCTCCCAGCCCTGCAGCAGCTTCACGTAGGCGAACACCTCCCAGTTGCCGGTGGTCCAGAAGAGACCTTTCAGCGCCTCCAGGCAGGTCCTGGGCAGGGTTGAAGAGCAGAGTGGGGGGGGGAGCGTAGTTGGGGCATGACACCCTCCTTGGCCACAGTGACCTCCTCCAAGCTTCCCTCCTCACAGTGCCCGGCCTCTGGTGGCCACAGTTCCTACTTTTACACCCTGGTGAAGCCCCCTCCCGCGAACCCCCCCCCCCCCCCCCCCCCCCCCCCCCCCCCCGCCACACCGCGCCAGCCTGGCCTATGTGTGAGGTTGGGAGGGCTCTACTGGAGGGGCCTGGCTTTGTGGAGTGGAGAGAAGGGGCTCAGTGGGAGAGGAGAGGCAGGGCTCCAGGGAGGGCGGGGCTCCACGGGAGAGGAGAGGCGGGACTCCATGGGAGGGGAGGGGCTCCACAGGAGGGGCAGAGCCTTATGGGAGGGGAGGGGATTCCTGGGCAGGGTGAGAACTCCGTGGTGGGCGGGGCCGTGCGAAGAGTAGGGGCTGGAGGGTATTGGGGGAGATGGGGAAGGGCTACAGTGGGCCTCACCTGCAAGGGCCCAGAGGCTGCCTTTCCAGGATGTCCTCCCGGTAGTGGGAGAGGTCCTGCCCCATGCCCAGCTCAAACAAGTAGAGCATCTGTGTCAGCAAGCCCAGGAGGATGCCGGCGAAGGCCCAGTGCACTGTGGCCCTGAACTCTGGGACGTACAGGAGCTCGTAGATAGTGCCGAGGGCCTGTGGTGAGCAGAGCAACACCCTTTGCACCCACCGTGCCCCAGGCCCACTGCTCACACCTTGGGCAGGTGCAGTACCAGGGCTGGTCTTGGGTGCCACCGCCCACACACACAGGCTCCTCGTCCCCGTGCTGCCCACCAGCAGGGAGATGACCTCCGCCTGCTCCTGCGGCTGGACGAGCTCCCTGGGCAGCCGCAACTTCAGGTTCATGTACAGCAGGGTAATGATCTTGTGGGCCAGCTGTTCAGTGGTGACTAGGGCCCTCCACAGGGGAATGAGCTTCCTGCAGAGATGATGTCCAGTGCCACCAACTGAGGCCATGCGGCACAAGGGCTTCGGGTGACCCCTCATCCCTGGGACTGACAGGTGATCTGTCTGGCAAATTTGGGGGTTCAGGAATGGGAGGCCAGGAGGCCAGGTGCTGCTGACACAGGCCTGCTCCCCTGGACTTGCCACTGGTACCCCTTGCTGCGCAAATCCAGGCAACTCTGTCCTTGCCCTTGTCCTGTCTAGTTCCACACACAGATACTCCAGGGCAATGTGGGGGACAGAAAAGATGGGTGGGCAGTTCTGCCCCCTGGCACTTCCACCCCCGGGGAAGGAGTCGGGCTTGGGTCCTCATCGCGCAGCATGTCCTGATACCCCACTTCAGCCACGGGCATGGGTAGGGGTGACAGCTGCCAGCCCCTTGGCAAGCTGGTCTGGGTGAGTGCTGGGTCACTCCTAGACTGGGCCCCTCTGGGGTGTCTGGGCCCACTGGACCTTAGTGGAGCACTCATCCACTGTGACGGGGGGGCCCACCTCTCGGAGGGGGGACTCAGCATGAACATCACCTCGATACATTCCTGTGGGTACTGGGTTCCCAGCAGGGTCATGGCCCTCAGCATGGCCACCTGGACATCCTTGGAGTTGATGCTAGGCAGTTTCTGGGACAGGCCCTGCAGGATCTCCATCACCTGTGGGGCAGGGGTGGCTGGACTCGGGCCTCCCTCTGTCCCAGGGGCGTGGACATGAGACTTCAGGGATCCCTGGAAGAACCCCCAGAAGTGCCCGGCAGCCCTATCAGCACCATCTGGGACATCCCTGAGGCCAGCGGGGTCAGTTCCACCTGATGGGGAGGGAACAGAGGCTCTGGCCACAGACCATGCTGGCAGAGAGAAGCGGGGCTCCCGGGATGTCCGGCAATACCTAGGCAGCCCCTGTTGTTTCCCCCCAAGCTGGCCACCTGCTCAGGCCTGATGGAGCCGTCTTCAAAGATGGTGAGGAGCACCTGGGAGGCCAGAGTGCTGCGCAGGTGCCCGTGGCTGCTGAGCCCCTGCAGGAGCGTGAGCACCAGCTGCGTGTGCTGCCCCACTGACAGGTTCCTGTTCAGGGCCTGTAGGGGTCAGGGCGCAGTCACATGTGTGTATGCATTCACCCCGCTCCAGTCACACGCATGCACACACACTGGCACACACACAGCCCACTCCCGGTCACATGCACACACATGCACGGGGCCCGCTTCCAGTCACGTGAATGCACACTTAGAACCCGTTCCGGATCACGCTCACTCACACGCGCGCACACACGGGGCCTGCAGCAGACAGGCTGCCCCTCCTCCCCATGGCCCACACTGCCCACTGCTGAGAATGCGGGTAACACTCGCCCTTTTCTGGAGGGCCAGGAGCCCCCCACAGTGTTTCCCGGGGCTACAGAGCACAGAACCGCCCTGGCAGATGGGGAAACTGAGGCACGGGAGCCTTGAAGGACCTAGACGGGACTCGGCCTCCGCCCCAATCCATGAGGAACGGAGCCGCTGGCCGCCCGGGCAGCACAGGGAGGTCCCAGCCCCACCTTCACCACGGGGTACAGCTTCCGTTCCGACTCCTGGTAGGTCTTCGCTTCCACGTTCTTCAGTCTGTTCAAGCGCATGAACTCGGCCACGCTCTCTGCGGGAGGGGCTCACGGTCAGGCGGTAGCCGGCCAGCAGGGGCCACCCGCCGGGACCCACACTCACGCTTATGCTGGAGGAGGTGCAGCAGCAGGTAGGCACACTGGTGCGAGTGGCTCTGAGTGGCCCGGTCCTCGTCGTGCCACAGCAGCAGCAGCAGGCCCACCTGGTGGCCCAGTGCAGAGGGCGTGGCGTGCTCCTGGGGACGGCCGCGCTGAGCAGAGCCTGGCCCGCTGGCTCGCCCCGCCCCGCCCTGTTGCCCCGCCCCCGTGCCTGCTGCTCCTCCCCCCAAGCGTCTGCTGCCCCACCCCACGCCTGCTGGGTCGCCCCCCCTTGCACCTGTTAGCCCTGCCCCGCTGCCCCCACCACGCCCCTGTGCCTGCTGGCCCCGCCCCATGCCTGCTGGCCCCGCCCCGCTGCCCCGCCCCACACCTGATGCCCCACCCCCGCTGGATCCTGGTCCTGGTGCCCCCCACTACTATTGGTGCCCCCCACCCCTTTTCTCTCTCAGCGTTCCAGTTCTCAGTCCTTTCCAAGGCCTCGTCCCTCGCCTGGGGAGGGGCTCCAGCATCTGGGGAGGGTCAGCACCACTCCCACCCCACGCAGGAGAGGCGGTGACGGCCTAAGTCGGCCGCTGAAGCACACGCCAGCCACTCCTTCCTTCAGCCTCCCACTCGCCCTGGCTCTGGTCAGCACGTCTGGGAGAAAGGCTTGGCCTGGCTTCTCCTACGTGGCCGGTGGCACAGAGCTCAGGTAGGCACCGTCCATCCTGCCTGGACACTCGGTGCTGAGAGTGTGCCTGGCTGGGCCAGGCTCCTGAGTCTCCCGCCTGCATCTGTCTGTGACCCTGGCGGACTGTCCTCAAGCTGGCACTGACTGTTCTCCTCAGTGGGCACTGCATTTGGCAATTTCTCGAGTCTACACAGGGCTGTTCCTTAGCCTTTCCAGCTGTCTGCTGGTTCTTCGCAGCCTCCAGAGTTTGGGCCTATTTCTCCATCCGGGCAAGTCCTGGCTCCCCCAGCCCGTGGCCCGCTGCTGCCCGCAGGCTGCAGTTGCAGCGACTCTGGGAAGCCCTTCATGTCCTGGCCCTGCGGGTCAGCGCCAACTCTGGGGTGGAGGGGGAGGGCTGCTGCCTGCTGGGGCCCAGACAGAAGCCCTATGAGGTGTGTGTGCCCTGGGCTGCACTGTGGAGGCCAGCCGGCCCCTGTTCACCCATGTCCATTCCATGCCCACCCCTATCCATCCCATGTCCATCCTATGTCCACCCCATATCTCCCATGTCCACCCATGTCCGTCCCATTTTCATGTCCATTCCATGACTGTCTGCGAGACCAGTCCTTGGCTTCTGTCTCTGCAGCTGGGAACTCTCATGCCAGACTGGCCCAGCCACCTGCCTGCTCAGTGGTGTCCCCCCGGCCACAGTCCCCTCAAGGGCCCCAATTGCCTCCCCAAGCATGACCGACAGCTGAGACCCACTTGGGCAGTGGCAGCTGCCTTCTGGGACAGTCCACCCCTCTCACTGCCTCTGCACCCCGAGCTCCACCCCCAGACACCACCATGCGTGCAGTGATGTCCCCCTGCTGGACTTTCCTGGGTTCTGGTGACCACTGGCTGTGGTGTGAGGCCCCAGCCAGAGGGCACTGCTGCCTGCGTCCTCATGGGTCACAGAGCTGCATCTCTCCTGATCCATGGCAGGACACGCTGAACCCTTGGTCTTTTCTAGTTGCGGACTTTTCCTGGGGCTGACCTTGCAGGAAGGGGGCAGGCCCCCTGTCCCCGTCAGCCCTCCTGGGTTCTCCCGCTCGTGGGCACCTGCCCGGCTCACCTGCCTGACCATCTGGGCACACTGCTCAGCACAGGTCAGCAGGAGGACCACTGACCTCACAGCTATGCCCTTCTCCCAGCCCAGGGCTGGTCAGCACCCTATCCTGTCCTGCAAGGTCGCATGCTCACCCCCTTTTCTGAGGTGGCCCCTCCCCAGGGCAGTGTGACCAGGGCAGGCTATGCCGGTACCTCCTGGAGTGCTCAGAGCCGCTTCTTCCCAGGTAACTGGCCAGCAGAGGTTGCTGACCACAGGCTTTGCTCACTTGGTCTGGATGGCTTCCGGCTGCCAGGCCAGGAAGAGCAGTGGGAGGGGGGTCTGTATGCCCATGGACTGTGCCCTGGCCACCCATGTCCAGCTGGTGCTTGGCTGGACGTGGCCAGCCTGTGGCGCTGCTATTGGCTGGTGCTTCTGTGCTCACGGCCACTGCGGGTGATTCTGAGCATGTCAGTCCCATGGACACCCCAGCTGCCCCAGTGCTACTGCAGTGCCCCCAAGCCAAGTCCTCCTCCTCCCCAGCCCACTCTCTGGACCTCCGCATTGCCCCAGGCCCAGCGAGTGGAATGTGCTCAGGGTCCAGCTGGTGGCTGAGGGGCAGTCCTGGTGGCCCCCAAAATCCAGCTGGCCCCGGCCCTTCCTGGTGTGCTGCTAGCAGGACAGCTCTCCCGCCCTGGCCCTGGGTCATGTCCAGCCCAGCTGGCTTTGAGCCTGGGCGTGGTGGCTCCCACCCTGAGGCACAGATGGGCAGCCCCAGACTTGGCCCCCAAGATGGCCAGGATGCCCTTTGCTCCCAAGTCCTCTCAGGTGACTCCCTGGGGAGGCGTTTTTCTGGAATGTTGTGTGCCAACTGGGCGTTGCACTCAGTGTCCTGGGTCCACGTCCTAGGCCCTGCCCAGTGCCCCCGATCCTGCTGGGGATGACTCTGAGGCAACCTGCCACAAACATCCTCATGCTCATTCTTCATTCTTGATGGGTTGCTGGGGGTGGGGGGTGCAACTGTGGAGCTCTCCCTGCCGACGAGGGTGGTCCCGGTGGCCCCTCCCCCTCCCCGTTGACCGAGAGGCTGGCATGGCTTTACCTTTGGGCACTTGCCCACAGCAACCCCAGAGCTCAACAGTGCCTCGGGTTTGGACTTTTCCCGCCTGGACCCCAGGCTGCTCTGAGGCCCAGAACTGGGCAGAGGGCGCTGGGCTGCTGGGCCCCATTTTGCCCCACGCTCCTGACAATGGGTCTGTTCGGTGTGTCCAGAGTATCCCCTGCCGTCTGCCCGTCCATGGCTGGGCAGGGGGCTCCCTTGGCCCTCGCCCCCATTCCACCCCCGCCAACCACACTAGAACGGAGACTCCTGTCTGACCCCATCTCTTGCCCCCACTCCAGCTCAAAGTCCTGTCCGCGCAGGGTGGGGCCGGCCGCAGTGGGGACTCACGGTCAGCCTCTGGGTGTCCGCCAGGTACTGCAGCAGCAGGAAGATGGAGCGGGTGACCCGCTGCCGCTCGTGGGTGCTGCTGGACTCGAGCCATGGCTCCATGTGCTGCAGGCAGCGGTGTGGGCTGAGCAGGGGCAGTGGGGTGGGGCGCGGGGTGGGTGCAGGGCAGGGGCGGGGCGCGGGAGGGGCACAGGGTGGGCGCAGGGCAGGGTCACCTGCAGGATGAAGGAGATCTCGTCCATGGTGTTGTTGTCCAGGACAAGCTTCCGCAGTAGCAGGTCCAGGGCCTGTGAGCTCTTCTGGTACAGCATCTGGGCACAGACGCAGCCCTCGGTGAGCATGACCCAGGCACTGCCTGGCCCTGCAGCCCTGGGCACTGACAGCCTTCGAGGGAGCCTGGGGGGCCGGAGCCTTGAGGCTCAGCTGGGACTTGAAGCCTCGGCCTGGGGGTCCCCGCAGCCCCCACTCCGACAGCCGCAGCACTCTGGGAGCTCAGCCCACCAAGCGCTGCCCTCCTTGCCCGGGGGCCACCCCACCTCGGGCCTGGCACCCCGGCACCCACCGCCTCTCTCGCTACTCCCACCGTGTCCAGGGACCCCAGACCTGCAGGCCCAGGGTGGTGGCCCCTCCTCAGGGCCCTCCTTGCCCCCTCCTGTTGTGGACGTCGAGCCCCGGGGAGCACCATAGCTGACCACTCTCAGCCTCAACGGTGCCCGGGGCCACTGTGCCAAAGACCCATGTGCCCACCCAGATCCAGCCTGGCCTGTTTCCCAGTCCAGGGGACAGAAGCCAGGCCAGGGCTCACCAGGACGTCGGGGACCGAGTGCAGGGAAGTCAGAGAGCTGTGGAGCTGCTCGGGGGGCGGCAGCGTGTAGAGGGACTGCAGACAGACCTGCAGCGTGCGCGACTGCAGCGCTGGGCTCATGCCGGGACGCAGGGTGCTGCGGGCACACACAGGGTCACGTGGGGCAGGGACAGGCACATGCAGGGACACTCCGAGGGGGGAAAAGGGACACTCAGCCTGTGGCTGCGATGCAGGCACTGAGGCATGGGCTCCTGGGGAGAGTCACGAGGGCACCCAGCCCGAGTGGCCCCGGGGTGCAGGTGCAGGAATTACTCAGCCCCCGAGTCACTGGCGGACATGACCAGAGAACCCTCAGGCCAGCTTTCGAGCGGTGTCGGGTCAACTTGTGCCCAAGGACAGGTCAGAGTGTGACAGACAAGTCAGGGAGTGACAGGGTCATCGTAGATGGGGTCAGAGTGTGACAGGTCAGGGAGTGACAGGGTCATTGGACAGTGTGTGGTCGGTGACTTTTTTCTACCCCATCCTGGACAGGTAGGTCACACAGCGCCCTAACTCCTAGTGGCCTGGCTGAACTGAGCTGTGCTCAGTCACTTGAGCCCAGGTCCTTGTCCCCAGGTGCCCGCCCGCCCCTATGCGGGCCCAGGTCTCCTGTGCACCACGGGTCACCTCAGTCCTGCGATGACGATGATGGCCTTCTGCCGGAAGTGGGTGGCCAGGATAGGGGGCTCCTTTTGCAGGGCGATCTGGAGGGGGCAGGCGCAGGTAATCAGGTGGGGGCCGCACAGGATCCGCCCCACCGTGCCTCTGCCAGACCTGCCCCGTCCCACCCTGTGCCTGGTCTCCATCACGCCCCACCCCGGCCCCTTGCCCCTGCCCCGCCCCTGACCCCGCCCATCACGCCCTGGCCCCGCCCCACATCCGACCCCGCCCAGCCCGCCCTGGTCCCGCCCCATCACACCTTCGGCCCGCTCTGGCCCCGCCCACCCCATAAGTCCCGCCCATCACGCCCTGGCCCCGCCCCGCCTCACCAGGAGACACTGGATGAGCTCTGGGACCTGTGTGAACTTGTAGCTCTGGGCGTCCTCCGAGCGCTGCAGCGCGCGCAGCAGCATGGTGCTGGCCACCAGGAAGCTGCTTTTCAAGGCGTTGTCCTGGACACGCAGGGCCGGAGCCTGAGCCGGATTGCACCCGACCCCGCACTGCACCACAGTGACGCGTGCAAGGATAGGCACAGGGTGGGACAGGGCCAAGCACGCGGCGAGGCAAGCATGGACACATGCAGGGACACAGGCAGGCAGGAACCCACGGACACAGGCACGCAGGGCCTCAGGGATGCAGGGACGCAGACACTCAAACACGCAGGGACACAGGAACCCACAGACGCAGGAACGCAGACATGCAAGCTTGCAGCCGGTGTGGGTGTGGGGACGTGCAGCCCTCCCGGCCCCACTCACGTATCCGCCGCAGGAGTAGTAGTAGATGATGCGAGCCATGATGTTGTCCATCCAGGGCAGCGCCTGGCTACCGGCGTGCAGCGCCACCTGCCCGTAGCACAGCAGGCAGGTCCTGCTGACCCTCTTCCAGCGCAGGACCAGGTCCTGCGGGGAGAGAGGGGCCCAGGGCTCAGGACCCCAAGCATCCCCCAGGTCAGGTGCCCAGGGTGGACACCGAGGCCCGGTCCAGGGCCCAGCTGCGGGGCTCCCCCCTGAGCAGCAGCCAGCGAGTGTGAGGGCCCCGCGCCCCGCCATACCTGACTGTCCGTGGCCGCAGGCCGCAGCCTCAGGGACCACGCCTGGCCCTGCTGCTCCAGCACTGTCCACGTGGCCTCCAGGTGCGAGATGGACGTGATACCCACGGCCAGCGCGATGCCCTGTGGCCCGGGCACCCTGCGCTGAGCCCCGCTCAACTCCCTGAACAGCCCCTCCTGGAAGGGTCCCCCCGCTGGGCACCCGTGAGCCCGGGCCAGGGCACACCTCCCGCTCACTGAACCACAGGGGCGACTGGTCCAGGAGCGTCGTCAGGTGGGACTGGACCAGCTCAGCGCTGGCGCTTTCCTTGAGCGCCAGCCCGTAGAGGCGGAAGAGGAGCATCTGCAGAGAGAGAGAGAGAGAGAGAGAGAGAGAGAGAGAGAGAGAGAGAGGAAAGGGGGCCCCGGCACCCCGCCCCCCTGCCTGTGCATGCTGGGAGACACGGAACTTTCTGGAGTTCCACAGCGGGTCACCTCTGCCCGCCCCTCCGGCCGCTCCAAAACTTTTTGCGGGGGTGGGGCTCGGACCCACCTTGCCCAGAGGCAGCGAGGGGTCCAGGTTCAGCGGCGACAGGAGGTCCTGGACACTGGTGCTGGACTCTTTGTCCTTGCCTGAGACCTGGGGAACGGGAGGGGAGGGTGGGCTGCTTCCAGGCACCCCCCCCTCAGTCTGCAGCAGACCCCCAAGCCCTATGCGGCCCTTTGCTCCACCTTCTGCTGCCGCGGGGCCTTTGCACGGCCAGTCCCTCCGCCCCTGCCCTTGTCCCCAGCCCGTCCCCCTCATGCAGGGAAGCTCCAAAGTTCAGGGGGAGTGTGCAAGGAGAGGGTCCCCGCTCTGCTACTCCGCCCCCTCCCTTTCGTCAGGCCCTGCAGGCCAGAGGCCCCAGGACCCAGCATGTGTGGGGGGCCCCTGAGCACCGTGTCCGTCCAGCCAAGCAGAGGCCAATGCACCTGCGCCTCCAGGCAGCGCCACAGACCCTGAAGCAGCCCCTCCTGCCCCTCTTGCGGCAATGCCTTCAGCTGCTGCACCATCGCGGCCTCCCACGAGGGCTCACTGACCCGGCCTTTTGCAGATGGAGAGAAACAGAGAAGGGGGTCCTGGCCAGTGTCTGCAGGGAACGGTGTCACGGGCAAGGACACCGGGGGAGGGGACAGCACATGTCTGCAGAAGCCATGGCTGTGCCCAGGTGTCCCGGTTAGGTGCGCCACCCTCAAGCCTAACAACACCCCCTCAGGACACTGTGGTTACTGCCCTATGCGATGGAGGTATGGGCACTAAGTTACAAGCCCGGGGAAGAGGGGGTGACCGTGGGGAACTCGGGGCCCAGATGTCCCTAGAGCCAGAGGACAGGAAGGGTGGGAAGAGATGAAACCGAATGCCCACACACCCAGGGTGGGGGGCACCCAGACGAAGTTGCCAGCACCAGGTCAGCCCTTGGGTTCCAGTCCCAAGCACGGGAGAAAGTGGCCACGAGTGGGTGGGGCCGGCCACACGCTCTGGCTTCCACAGCCCCACAGTGGCTTCCAAGGAAAGTCGCACTTCTCTCATGCAGCTTGCCCTGCAATTATCCCTGACACCACATATAGCCCCCAAGCCCCACCAGGAGTGAGCCCTGAGCACAGAGCCAGGAGTGAACTCCGAGTACAGAGCCAGGAATGAGCCCTGAACAGTCAGGAGTGAGCCCCAAGCACAGAGTCGAGAGTGAGCTCTGAGCACAGAGCCAGAATTGGGCCCTGAGCCCCGGAGCCCGCGCTGAGCCCTGTCTGGGCCTCCAAATCCCTCAGTGAGTGGAGCGCGTGGTCAGGGCCGCTCACTACAATGCAGGACAGTCGGGTGCCTGAGTGGGTGCCATCCACCCTGCCTGTGACCCCCAGACTCCCAGATGCTACCACCTGCGCCTGCAGCCCCTCTGCTCACCCATCCAGGCCTCTTGTCTCTCCATGGGGCTGGGGACTCAGCTGCTCATGGTGACTTCTGCGCACCAGCTCCTGGAGAAGGACCAGGGACTCCATGAGCATGGCAGCGTCCCACCGGTTTCATCACCCCGGCTCCCACCTCCTGCCCCATACTCCTGACACCCTCTTCCTGCTCCTTGTACCCTGTCCCCCACTCTTCCTCCCTGCACCCTCCCTACCTGACTGCCAGTCTCCCCTTTGGGGCCATGAGACCTTCCTGCTCCCCTACTATGACCAGACCCTAACTCTGCACTCCCCCCCGGACCCCCAAGGTCGTTTCAGCTCTGTGCTTGCTGGGGCTGAGGGCCCCCCATTCCTGCACCTCCTCCTCCAAGCCCCTCCTGTGACCCCCACTGGGGCAAGTTCTTCCCAGGGTCTCTGCCCGGGGTGTGAGGGTCCCCCGTTACCCAGCTCTGGGTCCAATCCCAGCCCTTCGAGAGGGCTCTTCAGGGAAGCAGCCCTAGGCTTTAGGGTGGGCTGATGGGGTCCCAGTTAAGGATGTGGGGTCTCATCAGTGCCAGGTTCTCACTGAGGGTCGTCCCAAGGGGACTCTGAAGGACCAACAGACCTCGGGCCTGGCAAGGACCACCCCCTCCTGACACAGCCTGCATCCTGGGGCAACTAGGGAGCTCTGGGGGAGAAGACAGGTGGGGCCAAGGCTCTGGAACCCCGACGGGGTCCTGATGGGGGGCTTCAGGCCCATAGAGCAGCCTGGAGTGGAGCCCTGGACCTGGCCCCACCCCCAAAAGCCCCCAGAGTCTGTGCAGGCAGTTCAGGCTGCCCTGGCAAGCCACAGATGCAGCCAGGGCCGCCGTCCAGGGCCGGGTGCCACCTCCCCAGGACTTTCGAAGGTCAGAGACCCACAGACACCACGACCCAGGCACCACCGTCAGTCACCAGGGACGGTGGGTGTGTGGAGGGCCCGAGGCCCCCCGACCAGGCTCACTGGCCTATCCCGAGAGGGGCCTGACCCCAAGCAGACCTAGAATTCTACCCCTCAACGGTCGTGCATGGCAGTTGGGGCCCCCAGCAGGCTGCGGCCCCCACCCTGATGCTCCCCTAAGGCCGGGGGCTGGGATGTGCCTCAACCCAGACTGCCCGGGCCGGGGCCTCCAGAACCAGCCTCCTCCCTCAGGCCTTGCCAGGACCATGAGAGACAAACTTGGAGGCTGGGGCCTCCCTCAGCAGCACCCAGGGGGACACTCAGGGAGACTGTCCGTCCCAGGGCCATGGCTGCAGAGGGATGCTGGGACATGGCCAGACCAACTGCCACCCTCCATGCCCCGGGCACCCCCTCCAGCCCCCCAGCCCTGCAAGCCCTCTTGCCCACGCCCATGCTGCAGGCGGGACAGTGCAGAAGGCAGCGGTGTGTGTGTGTGTGTGTGTGAGGGGCAGGGAGTACCTCTGTGCTTTTCCAGAAAATCAAGGTGCCCCAGAACGCCTGAGCAGAGCAGGCCGCATGCCCCTCCCTCCCTGCCCCCCAGCCAAGTTCAGGCCCGCAAAGGGGCTTCATAACCTCCCCACCTGCCCTGTTGCTGGGGCTGGGGTATCCCACATGGGCACACAAAGCCATCTGGAGAAGGGCTGTGAGGGTCGAGGGGGTCTGGACAGGGCCAGGCAGCGCGGAAGGGAGTCCCCCAGCACCCACTCTGTCCTGCCTTGGCCTCGGCCTTTGTGTGTCAGGAGCCATTGGCAGAAGTTACCAGCTCTTTGCTTTGGGGGCCACACTCGGGGGTGCTCAGGACTTACTTATGCTTCAGTGCTCAGGGACCACCCTGGTGGTGCTCAGGGGACCATGCGAGATATCAGGAATTGCCCAGGTTGGCACGTGCAAAGCCAGGCCCTCCCTGCCGTGCTCTCCCTGCGTCTTTCTGAGGTTGCACCACAGTCCCACAGCTGGCCCTGTGCCCACTCTTCGGCCAGTCTTTGATCCGCCCCATGCGCCCCACAGCTGCCAAGGCCTGTCAGCGCCCGGCCAGCCCACAGCAAACAGCAGACGGAGCGAGGTGAGGCTCTGGCCTCTCCGTCTTGGCGCCTTGAATTTGCTGTTTTGCTCCCCACTGCCCACCTCTGCTCCATGCCTTCCTGGAGCAATGTGGATGGTCCCCTCAGAAGCCACAAGCTGTGGCAGGATGCCCTGTTGGGGCTGCAGTGTTGGGCTGTGATTTAACTTGGCTAGTTCCAGCAGAACTCTTTCTGGAAACACACTGGGAGCACAGTGTGAGGGTTGCAAACTGGAGGGTCTCACTTTCTTGGCCCACCTCACTGTCCTACTGCCCACTCAGAGGTCAGAGAAATGGCAGATCGATTGGTTGTGTGTGTGTGCGTGTGTGCATGTGCATATGTGTATGCGTGTGCATGTGTGTTCATGTCTGTGTGCAAGCATGTGTGTGTGTGTGTGTGTGTGTGTGTGTGTGTAGTCACCTTTATGTCTGTAATCAATTCGTCCATTTGGTCTGTAGGTCTGTGGAGTCTGGAAAGATTCATGCCAGGTCAGGATCAGAAGTGAAAATCTTCCAGTCCAGGGGCTGGAGAGATAGCACAGCGGGTAAGGCGTTTGCCTTGCACGCGGCCGACCCAGGTTCGATTCCCAGCATCCCATATGGTCCCCTGAGCACCGCCAGGAGTAACTCCTGAGTGCAGAGCCAGGAGTAACCCCTGTGCATTGCCAGGTGTGACCCAAAAAGCAAAAAAAAAAAATCTTTGGGTCCAGACCTGGTCTAGGCAGTGGATCCACAGGCAGATGTCACCTCGCTAAGGACAATTGTGTAGGAACTACCGAATCCCAGGGCTCACTGCTTTGTTCACTTCCCTTAAACTTGTGGGACCACAGTTAAGCTGACATATTTCTGAACTGGCCATGGAGAAGTCCTCGGTCTAAATTTCTCATTGGGAAAATTGTAAATGTACCCAAAGGGCCAAGAAGTAGCACCAAAAATGCCTACACTATTAAGCTATTTTCCTAATCCTTGTATGTTGTTTATACTCAAACCAAAAGTATCCATCCTGATAGAAACCATGCCATTTACTGCTATCATGGATACTCCACTCCAGTTCTTGGCATGTCACTGATCCTTGCATGGGTTTTTTGAATGAGAGACTCAACCTAAAATGAAATTGCGGTAAATTGAGCTTAACATTAGCATAAATGCTAATTTTGACTTTTGATGTGAAGATACATAGATTTCCTTGAGATTCTGATTTGTTGAGATTATAAACAAATTAAAATCTTTAATGTCTTCAGCTTTGCTCATGACAGACTCAGCTGTCACTTAAATTCAAATTTGACTAATTTGATGGGATAAAAATTCTTGTACTTAAAGCCAACTTCCTGTTAACAGAATTTTTCCGACTCTGCTGCTAAGTTTGGGCTTTTTTTTTCTTAATGGTGTGAGACTAAAATTCTTGGAGACGTGAATCTGTGCTGGAGACTCTTGGAGATGCTGTTCATGAGAACAGAATGCCAGAATATTTTGTTATTGTTTGTTTTGTTTGGGGGCCACATCCCATGGTGTCAGGGCAAACCCCTGGCTCTATACTAACTCCTGGCAGACCGAAGGGCACTGGGGATTGAACCCACCTTGGCCACGCACAAGGCAAGTACCAAACCCACTCTACTATCTTTCTGACTCTGAGTGCCAGAATATTTTAGGAAAGAATTCTGATCACATTTGCAAATGAAAGTAACAAAAAATTGCACATAAGAAAATTCATTCTGAGGTGTTTAGTCATTTTAAAGTCTCTTTATACAGTTGTGCACATCTTAAAAACCAATATTACATACTGTGGAAAACATAGGGGAATTTTTATATAGATTCATATAAAGCATATGTAAACATGTAAGTAAATTTGCATAAATGCATATGAGTGCATCAGTTATACTTTTAAATTTTTTATGACATTACTTTTGGTGCATTGGGTAAAGTTATGCTATTACTTTAAATTCACTTGTCTGCAGTAATCAAGTAGCAACCTTCTCTGGAGGTTAAAATCTGTGCTGTTTAGAAATCACAAAGAAAGTCAAAATGATCTCGTCTTCCTAAAGACTAATGTGGCATCGGATCTCTCTGAAACAG